GGGTAACAAGTTCATAACATAAATCAGTTATGCAATTCAAAGAAATTTTAAAACATTCAGCCACTCACCTTGAAATACTTTTGTCTTGAAATTCTGATAGAAAACAATCCGATCAACTCTTGCTTTTAGAGTTCATTCTAAGCTCAAAATGGCAAGAAAAAGGGTATGAGGGCCTCACCCTTATATATATATATATATATATATACTCCTTCTAAATCAAGTAAGCCAGCTCAACAGCCCCTTACATGTATGCATGCCCATGCATACTTACCCAAGCATGAACCAAAATTTATGCATAAAAGAATATCATGCATGTACAAATTTCAAGCATGCACATTATGCATACATTCTTATGCATAAAAATTTCACATACTTTCATGATCAAATATATCATTTTATCATGCTGTCACATAAGCATATAAAATAATCACGTATTAGTTACCTCAGGTGATAACCAAGATTCCGGTTATCACACAAAATACACATCCGCATAGACCCATCTTTCTTTTTAACAAAAAGGACCGGAGCTCCCCATGGTGAAGTGTTGGGTCTAATGAATCATTTGTCAAGCAGATCTTTTAACTGAGTAACCAATTCTTTTAGTTCTTATGGAGCTAATCGATATGGGGCTTTAGCTACTGGTGCTGCCCCAGGCATAAGATCAATCCCAAATTCAACAGCTCTGTCTGGCGGTAGACCAGATAAGTCCTCTAGAAAGACCTTTGGATATTCACTAACAATTGGAATCAGTTCTTGCTTCCCTTTTTCTTTCTTTGCATCAATTGCATAAGCCAAATAGCCTTGACATTTTTTTTGAATACACTTTCGGGCTTTTAATACAGATAACAGGTTGGTATGATGGTTCTGATGATCTCCACAAATAACAACTGACCCTCTGTCTCGTAAGGTAATTCTGATCATTCTTCTATTGTAGACAATACTGGCCTGATTTTCTGCCAACCAATCCATTCCCACTACTACATCAAATTCTTTCATCGGCATTGGAAACAGTCGGATCGGTAACTCACATCCCTCAATAATAATGGCACATTTATTGAACATATAAGCAACAAATACTTGACTATTAGCAGTGTCAACTACTAATTTATTGTCAAGTGGCACAGAATTCATGCATGCATTTTTGGCAAATGATGGTGATAGAAACGAAAAGTTTTGCACTTGAGTCAAACAACACCTTAGCATATAGAGAGTTTACGAGAAATGTACTTGTTACTACATCTGGTGTGGTTTCGGCCTCGTGCTTAGTCATCTGAAATGATCGACCCCACGCCCCTCCTTGTCCTTTTCTACCTATATTTGGTCTTCCATGGGCACTTGAGGTATTACTTCCCATTGTCAATTGTGGAGTCTTCAATTGTGTACAGTTAGGTAGAAGATGATCCGATGAATTACAGTTGAAACATCTTTTAGCAATTGGGCAGTTCCTTGACAAGTGACCTACCTCACCACATTGATAACACTTCCTCAAATCTGTTTTATAGTTGCCTTAATGAATCTGATGACACCGGGGATAGGCTTTTTCACTAAATTTATGAACAGGTCTGTTGCCATATTTCACAAATTTTGGTCATCAATAACCTATTGAAGGTCCTTCCAATTTTCTCTTTTCAGCAACTTTTCCTTCTTCTTATCTGTTCTTATTACTTTCAGTCACCTCTGCCACATCCGTAGTTAAAGAAAATGTAGCAGGGTTCATGGCAATTACAAATTTTTGAATAGATGGTTTTAAACCCTAAATATATCTTTCTACTTTTTCTGGATTCGGATGAGGCACAGTGCTCAGCAAATCGAGAATATTTAATAAACTTCTTTGTATATTCCCGAACAGTTCTTGTACCTTGTTCTAGTTTCAAGAGATCTTCCTCCATATGTCTTATGGCTGCTTTAGGACAGAATTATTCTTTAAATCTGTTCACAAACTCTGCCCAAGATAATGTTTGTAGAATATCTGCTAATGATTCAACTTCCCACCAAAACAATGCATTAGATTTCAACACAAAAACAGCAAATCTGACTTTATCTGCCTCTGAACTTCTGATAGTGTTGAACACAAACTCTATTTCCTTGATCCAGCACATGGCTTTAATCGGATCTCGTTCTCCAGAAAAAGTTGGAGGTTTGCAAGTTAGAAACAGTTTGATATCTCCCTCTTTGTTCTTTATAACTGGAACAGATGGATTTACCTCCACTCTTCTAGTTTCGATTCTGACAGGTATCCCCATGATGGATGTCAATGTTTCTCTTAATTTTCCCATTTCTTCAACTAACATATCCCTGGTCACATACTTTGGTTGGGGTATCTGCTCTTGATTAACATTCTCAGAGTTAGATTCTCCATGGTCAGCATGAGTCTCAGATTGACTATTTATGTCTCTGACTTGTTGTCTTCCTCTGCCTCTACCCTCTGATGAATTAATGGGAACAAGAGTAGGGGAATCCTCTGCATCATTAGGATTGGTGCGGGTGATCCTTTCAGACCTTCGGGATCGACTAGTCATCTGCAAATTCCAATGTTAATAATCACGTATTCACATTTCCAAATATAATAAAGTGTCCAAGTTCAGTTATGTACATGTAGATTCATAATTATATTGGCCAGATGTAATTCGAATATACCTTACACACTGGTCCCTTAACTTATCATATTTATTTCCAATGGTGATAACTATGTCTAGGACCTTAATATGCAATGAAAAAGTTTAAGTATAGGCATCATGTTGTGAATACCTAAATCCCTTAAACTCAGGCTCTGATACCACTTCTATAACACCCCATATCCCACATTTCATATGACACATAATTCATTCAAAGAAATACATGTTTTACACCACATAGGTCCTTTAGTACAAGAAACTAAAGTACAAAATACACAATCCAAAAATTCCAAAATACAAGTTCTTGTACTACATAACATTTAATCTTCAAAACTAAACACATCCATAGGTTGATCTTCATATATTTATGCACATAGGGCAACAATTATATTTTCCCTTTCCCTTTACTATCATTGTACTCGGCCGTTCCTGCAATACATATTTGAAAGAGAAAATGAGGGTTAGACTTGAAGGTCTAGTGAGATCCCTTTTTCCTTGTAGGTGCAGGGTGAAGATCACCAAAACATTATTTAAAATCAACTTTTCATATAATAAGAACATAAACATGTAATTCATAAAGACCAACATACCTCTGGTTGTAAAAACCAGATTTAGAAAGATTTTTCATCAAATAACAGGACCAGAGCCCCTCTAGTTCCGTTGACCAGAGCTTCTGGTTCTACCAACCAGAGCTCTTCTCAAGTTCAACATTCATATAACTACCAAATCAAGTACGAAGGATGGATGTAAATGTTTCCCAAGTATAAATGAGTAAACTAAAGGCTTATATATGACCAGAGCCTCTGCTCCTACCAACCAAAGCCTCTGCTCCTACCAACCTGAGCCTCTAGCTCAAAACCCAAGACCAACCAAAGCCCCTCTGGTTCAACTGTGAAGACCAACCAGAGCCCCTATGGTGTGTCTTTCTTTGCAAAAGTCATTTTGTATAAGAAACTTTTTAAGTTAAAATAAGAGCAAGAAGTTTTATTAATAATTTTGAAATACAATCTTTGACACAGAGCCTCTATACACTATATATAGATCCTCTAGTTTAGGTAAAAGGTTTTGTAAAAGACTTGTATTATAAACAAATATTATCCAAAGCCCCTCTGGTTCTATTTTGAGGAATGATCAGAGCTCCTCTGGTTCCTTTCAAGGAACAACCAGAGCCACTCTAGTTCCTCAAAATTCCTACACTTTGTCAAAAGCATGGTTATCCAAAACCTTTGGCCATAAGCCAAGTTTTCCTCTTCTCAATAATATCATTACTACCATTTCTAATAAGAGCAACATTCCTGAGTCTTCAAATCACAAAGAAGTAAGAACTCAAAACTATTGCAATCTTAAGAGACATAATAGTAAGAGCTTTAATAACAATCACACACACAAATGCCACCCTTATATCCAAAGGTACACCTCTTCTTGATAAGCCACCCTTATATCCGAATGTACACCTCTCCTTGATATGCCACATTTATCCCATGGAACGCCTCTCCTTGATATGATACCCATATTTCCTCATCAAAATCTATAAATTAATTCCAAACAAGACATACCGAAGTCACAACCATCTTGAAGCAACATCCTTTATAGTTTTAACCAATAACAGTTTCAAAATAGTTTTATTTCAAAACTCTAAAACTCAAGAACCAACAGTTCTTTTAATATCTTTTTCCAAACTCAAAACCCCTTTTACCCTTAAAATAGGATATCGTCTTCAACTATTTTAAAGAAGCAGAATCTTCTTTATTTCTCAAGAACAGTTCCAAAACCTAGGATATCGTCTTCAACTATTTGATCTTATCTTTCTTTATATATTTTTATCAAAGGCGGTGTAAAGGTTTTATTATTATAAAACTTCCAAGGCGGTGGAGGTATATTTATTTTTAAACGTCTTTTCTTAACCAAGAATATGCGCATACCTGTATTTAATAATTCTCATGTATGCCTATTATCATATATGTATACACATATGTTTTTATCAATTCTCACATATGCACAACAACATATTCACATATATATGATCCATGCATTTTCTTAAATAAACATGCACATTATCACATACTCATATAATGTTCACATAAAGATTACCTCAACGTTGCTGCCTTTAATCCCTGGTTATCACAACGAATCAACATTAAATATATTGTATTTGAAATTTGAATATGTTTATCAGTTACTCATCATTTACCTTTATGGATTTCATATGCAACTTTAAAAAAAGTTATATGTAAAAACTTGAAGGTGAAACCAATAATAGGAAATCAATAAAATGTTTATAAGTAAAACACTAATTATGATGCATATTTACAACTCCATTTGCAGCCCTAACCACAACAACTCTTGATGAACTTTTCACTCATACCAACATAGGTACCAAATAAGCAACAGAAAAGCTGGAAATAACACCATCACAAACATAGTAACAAACTGCACAGTAATTGTTGAAAACCAAGAAATTTGGCAATGCCCAAGTTCATGGATGGCTCCCTCGATTGACCTGCATTTCATCCCTATCATTAATCCAAGGAACTCAGAAAATTCATATGCGCAGGCTCTAATAGGTGCTCCACCGTGTTGAGAAACTACAACATTGTAAAATTCCCTTTTCTTAGAATCCTTTCGTACAAGAACACATTTAAACAAGATATGAAAATTTAATTAGTACTACACTAAAAACATGAATCTTGAAAGCTAGAAACTTTTGGAGCTAAACTTGCTAATTATAGCCTTAGATGTCGAATATACAAAAAGAAAAAGAACCTAGACTCTTCTGGAAAAAAGTAAGAAGATTTAGTTGAGCTGACACAAACTCTGCTGGGAAAAAAATTACAAGCATCTCTTGAAAGTGTCAAGATGGATGGGGAACTTTGAGTGTTTATGGATAAATAATGGCCTTGCAAAAAATAAATAAAATATAAGATGCAAAAGCTTACGATGAAAATTTGAACTTTGAATGTTTGTGGATACATAGGCTGTCGACAAATGAGCATTGCACCAAATTTTAGGAGTGCAAAATCAATCAACTGCACCAACCATGAAAAGATTGCTTATGATAAAAACAAAAGAACAATAACAACTATAGTGAATCATAAACGCCAAAAACATATTTAAAGACGTATTTAACTATTAAATAAGCTAGCAGAAGCTCTCTTGCATAAATGTTGAAGCAACTCAAAAAACTTCTCGATCTAGATATGGGAAAAATAACGAATATTTCTAGTTCTATGGAAGAAGAATTAAGATAATTAAGGGTATGATTGTAATAAACCTAGCATAACTCATCCCCAACAGCTAGCTCAAGGATGGAGGGTGCACATGTACAGTTATTTTCTCGATGTATTCGCAGGCAAAATTCTTTCGTGAAGGCACATAAAAACATGCAAGGATGAAGTACAAAAAATGAAGCACATAACCCTAAAGCCTAAATATATAACAAATATAATTGAAACACCAACCTAATAAATGATATCTATACATTGAAGTTTCTAATGAGTAAATCGAGGTAAACAAGAACCCATTAAAATTTAAACAGATTTACAAGTAGGGAAATTTGAATCAGGGTAATACGTAGGGTAATTTGAATCAAGGCTCTGGACATCATCTATTGAACAAGATTTGGTGGTAGAAAATTTAAATAACTTTACATAGATTCATGGAGAGTGTAGGTGAAGACATTAGAGTAGATAGAAATCTATAATAGGACCAGTTTTTTACTTAAAGTACAACATGAAGAGAGACGTTAGGGAGAAGTTGTAGTTCCAGTCATAATGAACTAATTGAACCTTATATTCTCTTTAAATTGTCAAAGAACCATCAATATAGATTTTGCGGTGCAAGTGTCGTTTTTTTCTTGTCCACTTACATAGAATGTGCTTGGATGGTTTTTGAACAATTTCTGGTTTTGATGAAATATATCTTATAACAACTTTGCTCTTCTTGAATACTAACCAGTTTCATGTCTATAATATTTATTTATGTTGATGCAAATATTCAAACATGGTATGTGTTTCCTTTCCTTAAAATTCAGCACTTTTCTACATCTTCTATATGTTTGAGCGCTTATTGTTGTGATTCTAGGGATGGATGCTGGTTTCAACCCAACACCCTCTAAGGTACTACTTTTTGGCTTCTGTCTATGCACTCCCATCTATCCACGTGAAATCATTATGTATGTACATAATCATATATTGCTTCCATTCTTTTCATGTATGCTTTAAAAACTAATAGAGTTTGTAGTGCCATAGATTGCAGCTTAATTATTAAAACTCAAACCAAGTGCAATCTTGTTGCTTTTGTTTCTCATTGTCAATCTTCTCTCTTTCTTTTAGTCATGTTTTTGTTTTGGAATCATTGTTAATGCAATGATCTTATCAGTGAAGTACAACATGATAAAGATGCCAGGCTTTAGAGCTCCGTGTTATTGGAAGGTTAAATCCATATCTTCCGGGCATGTCATTATATCCCGTGGATGTGCTATTCAAGTACAAAAAAATAACCATATGTACGGCTTTTAATGATGCTCAACCCATGCATTAAGACTACAATTTCATGTAAGGAGAAGTAGGCCTAAAGGTTGTAACTTCTTAATTACATACCCTGAATTTAAGTAAAAATCAATTTTAAGTTAAAAATCAACCATATGCTATAGCTTAGTGACTTTAACTGTGAAATTTCATTTGTATGTTACTCTGCATATTAGAAGTGGCACGTGACATAGAACTAATTCATAGTTATTATACTCAATTAAGTGGTCTAATCAGAAGTACCTCATTAGAGGATGCTTTATTGAGTCTTTTGTTGATTCTCTCATTACAAATTCCAGCTCTTTTGTTGTTGATGATGCTTATTTGTTTCTTTTTCTAGACTAATTTTATAGTTAATAATTAAAGAACACATCTATAAACGGGGTGCTACAGGAAGCATATATCATATTCTAAGAAGAATTAATGGTGGTTGTTATCTTAGGCATTTTATCGAACAGTTCATCTACATTAAACCTGGAAAATGTACAATAAAAAACAACAAAGATAGACCAAACATGACTGAAAGCAATAAAGAATATCTTATGATTTGTAAGCAAGAAAAAAGTTGCTTGATAGATGAAATCAATACACATCCAAAGGCTTTGGAAGCAGTAACATTTACCTCCTTCTCGTTCCTAATTAAAGGTTTGAAAGGAAATGTTGTAGATCAGACATTCAAAATAGGTGAGTAGCAGACAAGAAGAGAAGGAATCACCATATTAGTATTTTTTTTAATTCAAGAGCAGTCAGCATCATGAACGGAGAGAAATGGATGATTTCAAAATTTGAAATCAGTCAATTGAATCCATTGACCTGGAAATCGATAAAGAAACCCTAATTCAGGCATCAAACACCAAAAAATAATAAATCAATCAAAATTGAACCGACAATATGAAACAACGATAAAAGCCCAATTCAGAATACACATAATCTAAATTATCATCAGGTAATCGGCTTGAGATTTCAATAAACTTAAAAAAAAAATATACCACGTCATCAGAGACCTTTGTTCACAGGAAACATAAGAAGAGAAAAAGAAACAAAAGTGAAGGAACATCGGCATGGAGAACGCCATTTGAGGCCTAGATGGAGCAGCGACGATGACATTGAAGAGGTGGATAGAACATAGCAAGTGTTTCATCAGATATAAAATGATCTGTAAACTTTGGGAAATCAATAGCTACCTTGAGAATAGTTCAATTGGAAATATAAATTACCTAGGGAGTGGGAGAAGAAAACCGAATAGACTATATTATGCTCCTTATAAGACTTTTAAGACTTTATGCATAAGCAAGTAGTACCTTATGTATTTAACATTGTTTTTAAGACATTGATCAAATCTGGTTTATAAGGTAATATAGATTCATAAGTGACACAAACCCAATACAAACCTAGATTCATGAGGTTCATTCTTCAAATTGTCTTCAATTATAGATCCCAGAAAACAATATATGACCAAAGAATCAAGATTAATAATGATGAAATCACTATCTTATTAATAGAGAATATTTCATCACATACTATAATTAAGTTCCTACAAAATGAAAGCTTTGTATTAAAACTAACAAGACAAAAGCTTTATATACCCCTTAGGATATTTTACACAATGATTCCCTCAACTTTAATACAATTATAAAATGTCCTAACACATATATATAGACAAACCTACATTTATAACATTTTAAGTGAGTCAAACATTTATGCCAAAAGGAGCAAAACCTCAAATCAACCAAATCGCCCAAAATAGACCAAAATCACCAAATAAAGGAAATGCACCAAGAGGGAAGTTTAGGAGAATAATATTTTGACATGTATAATGATTTAGATTAAAGTATGATGAACTCATAATGCTAGTTTTTGACAAAAACCTAGAAACCAGTCAAATTCCTAAAAAGAAGATGATATCACACCAACACTTGATTTCATAGACTTAAATGCTCTTAATGGCTATGAGAAATGCTTCTCGCCTTCTCCAAACCCCACAATCGTCTTTAATGAAGAGATAAGAAGAAATGATCAAAACCCTAGCTAAAACTCATTTAAATCGCACCAGCATGAACCCTACAACTATGGTCACGACATGTGTTGCCTACACTACTCAGCTTGAAACAACAGAGCCTCACGCGGCTTATGTCATACGTCAACCCGTGTGGCTCACTGTTTGCTCTAAAACGTTGATTTCTTTATGTTGTTTAGCATGACCATATACCATTACCATTCTCCACTCACAACTTAATAAATGGTATATCCAAGGTCAAAACACCAATATATCATAAGTAATTAATGAAAGACATTGTCTAATTATTATGTTTATGTATTATTATGCGTTATATCAAAACATAATAATAACCTTAGAATAATGTATTCTAAAATGTCCCTAGTCAATTATTAATTCGGGTTTAAGTTGAATTAATATGGAAGGGCTAGTATATGCTGGGACCCATATGGAGATATATAATCCACATATGGATAGAAGATGAGATCTTGTGAACTGGACGTGACTCTCTATAAGAATGTTTCATTGAATGTCATATGAGTGGCATGGACGTTTCTCATATGGTCGTTGTACATATGGTACTTTGACTTAAGATCATGGAGTTTAGTTTGTGTGAGTGATGTACTTTGATAACTGATTCTAATTATTCTATAACTGGTGATAGAACGGTTGTTGGGTATATCATATATCACTTAGTAGTATCATCAAGGATAAAAGATAGGATTTGTTCTTCTTGGATGACAAGAATGATATCCTTAGGTCCTCGATTAAATAGTATTGAGGAAGTGCATGCATGCTTACGTAGTCAGTATAGGTATAGGATACTGATATATGTCTTATCAGTATATTCTGAAATCAAGAAACTAAAGATGATACATAATGACGATGACATATACATGCCTCGCGTTCGATTTGGATAGCGAGAACAAAGGGATATAAAATGTGTACATTGATAGTGATCACACAGTTTGCTGATTAGCTAAATCGCCAAACTTTATTATTTGGGTAATGATGATGTTTTGCTAGATGTCGCTCTTTGTTTATAAATGCAAATAGGATTTATAATTATCACGAACGAGATAAAGTCTCAATTGGTCATACACATAAAATGTATATCTGAATAAGGAGAATAAATAATTAATTAAAGCATTTAATTATTATATCTGATTCTATCTTATTAAATCAGATTATGGCTAGCTTGTTTGACAAGTTTGGGATATGATCGACAAATAGTGACTTGTCAATATATTTATGGAAAGGACAAACAATCCTTTAAAAGATATGAGATCTTCTAAAGATTTGTGCCATTCTTCCCGTAGTAGTACCTATGAGATAGGTACGAACATTACACTTATATAAATGGAGACCATTGTGAGACAATGGTAAGAGAGTGAGGCTGAGAAAAAGTTGCAAGAATTGTTCATAAGATCAATTCTTTCTCTCTACACAAGATGTTCATCCATTCCTCCAAGGAGTTGGAGACCGTATCCAACATTCGGGAAGGAAGAGGATCTCATCTCTTGGCATTGGACATCATCTGGATTCAGTTTGTGTGGATACTGCAGAGGCAACAAGCTGAGTTCGTTGCTTAGATTCAGATACGACATGAAATGGTTGTTGCTCATACTAGTAAAATTTTCAAAAACCCATCCTACTCTGTTTCATATGAATTCTTGATGGAATACATGTATTTTCTACTGAGTTTACGACCCTCGTATTTCAACAGTGTTACACTTTCCTCCTTACAACTGTAGTCTAATGGGATTAGGGTATCATGAACTAAAAGTCAAAACATTGTAAAACACGTCCAAGATTTGATAGTTGCGACTAATATCATATCAAAGCAAAGACATTTATACAATTGTATCATGATCCAAATCCTGTGTAGATATCATTAGAGATTGGAAGCACAAAGTTTGCAGCTTTCAGACTCAATCATCATAAAGAACATATCTTTATCATCATAAGATAATTTTTATCATCTGATCTACTACTATTTTTCTTTTGAATCATTGGTTAGGTTTGTTTTCTTATGCTATTTGTTTAGATCTCATAACCCAACACCTTTAACATTGGTAGGAGTCCTTGATGAAGATAGTTTACTAGGTATCAGGCCCATTCTAGACAATTTTTAGGCCCTGGGCAAAATGTAAAAAGGAGCCCCCGATAAGTATGATATTTTTTCAATATATTGTTTGTATAATCAGAAATAACATTGAATTCATATAAAACCGTTTTTCCGAGTATTTCTGGACACAAAATCAATCAATACTCATTTCTAAATTAATATTATCTACTAGAACATTTTTTGGTAGTATCGTTGATTTGTTTCGTCATCAAAAACATCCTATGATATACTTTTGGTACATAGAATAACATTATTTGGGGTCACAAAGTCGATTCTTCTGATTTCCGAGTGACACTATGTAAATCAATGTAAATAGGTTGGTTTTCCATGTCATCTCATGTTAATGTTCTTAACACCATTTTAAACTTTTATATTATATTTTCGAATTTGGGGAGATTAATACCATATTAAACTTTTATATTATGTTTTCGAATTTGAGAAGTTTAACACCATTTTAAACTTTTATATTATATTTTCGAATTTGGGAAGATTAATACCATTTTAAACTGTTATATTATGTTTTCGAATTTGGGAATGAAAGAAAAGAATGAGAAAGAAAAAGAAAATTAAAGTTTTTTGTTTGTGTTTTTAATAGAGAAGAGAGAGGAAGGAGAAATAATGAAATAAAAATAAATTTTGATATAATTTTTTTCCTTTCCTTAAAAAAATCTCGAGAACAAAATATTTTTTTTCCTACGTAAAAGAAGACTTAAGAACATAAGGTTAAGGTTAAAACAAATTTTTCTGGAATCATTGATTATATAAATTAAAAAACTCATGCTAGTGATAGTTTGAGATCTTATTATTCTTTTAGAGATAAAATAGTACATGAGATTTATACACTCAATAATAGATAATAAAGAACAACTATGATAAACAGTTATAGTTTTATTATTCTAAATATAGATATAAGTTGTATCGTCTTATATTGTTGGTAATTTTTTCAAAAGATGGGGGTTTTGTTATCTAATAACAAGAAAATATATCATATTCTAATATCAAAATAGAATTCATGCAAGAATGGAACAATCAAAAGAGTCGATGGGAGATAAATTATGGAGAATATATCAAAGTTTTCGAAGCAAGTAGTTTTAGATGTCGATATTAGATAAAAAAAACTTAGAAAAACATTAAATAATATTATATAATGAACGACAGATTAACCTCTTTAGGTATTTTTTTTTTCTCCAATATATTTAATTCATACATGTTTGGGTCTTTAATAGTTAATGTAGTACCAAAATATTTTCTTGTCATTTATATACTAAATTTTTTTATATATCTTGTATTTACTAATTTTTTTGAACTACTAATATATATATATTAAAAAAAATTAGGCCCCTAATTTTTATGGGCCCTGGGCTCCCAGGGACGGCCATATTAGGTATTGAGATCTCTGCTATACCGACTGTCTCGTTGGTGTTTAGTTCTTAAGTGCTTTCCAAAAAAGCTAATAAAGTTTTCAAAACTATGCCAAGATTAAATCCAAAGCGTTGGTACCACTTACTATCTATTGTTGGGATAAGATTGCACGTCCTAAACGGTAAAGATGCAACTTTTGTGAACAACGATAAGGTGTAATCAACAACAATGCCGAAATCAACGTAGGATTGATACCAAACACAAACAAGATGAATGAAACACAAACGACAAAAAAAATTATGTGGTTCCACGTCTGATAGGAGATATACGTCCGCATGAATAATAAGAAGAGCACATTTATTGATCAAGAAACTGAAAAAAAGATTACAAATTTAAATCACAAAGTGATTCAAAACTATAGCTTTTGTGATGGAGCTCAATGGCTAATCTAGCCTATTACTATTAGAGGAATATAAAAGATTCGATGGTCCAAAAAATGAACACAAACTATATTTATCTGTTAGCTAATTGTAATCCAACTCCAATATAAACTAGTTGGTATTGGTTCTTATCACCTGTGCAAGTTAACTAGGTGTTATATAACAAGGAGTTGTGGTTTTCACATGGCAGTCTTAATTGCCCCTTTAAGTCACTCGTGGTGTCAGTTGTATTTTTCAATCCAATGAGTTTGGTTTATTTTGTCATGGTTGTGTCCTTTAAGCCAACCGTCATGTTAATTGTATTTTCAATCCAATGAGTTTTGTTTATTTTGTCATGGTTGTGTGTTTCATCTGGTATGGTCCTGTCAAAACAGTGTAGAAACTCTAGAAACTTTCATTCACTTTAGCAGAATCGTACTATTTTATGTTGGAAAAATTAAATGTCAAAACTTAGAATTAATTATAGGTTTATTACTTTTTAATTATAAATAAAGAGGGGGTCATGTGACACCTCATATGTAATGCTGGCAGGTAGTTTTCTTAAGGAGTTATGGACGTCGGTTATGGCACCCCATGCCAACCGACGTGATGATCATATTGGCACCGATTCATCATGTATAAATACATTGATCGGTTGCTTTGTTGAATATACTCTCTTCAATATATACAATTTGTTATCCTTCCCTAAATTACATCCTAATTCTTATAAGGTGTGTGTGTGTGTGTGTTAGTTCGATACTACAATGGGTTTTTCCACATCTAAGAATCTCGATCATGAGATCACTAACGGAGAAGGTTCTAAATCGAAACACTCAAATGTTTCGATGTCAAAGCCTTCATCCCGAACATGGTATCAAAGCCGACGGTTGGATCAAAATCATAAGCAAGATCAAAGACGGAGAAAAACGATGAGGACTCTCCAACAACTTCGCAACACTCATATTCGATCTCATGGAAGCGAGAAATTGGCTAATCCACGTTACGGTGCTAGCAGCAATCGTGAAAATAATGAGAAACGAATCAAAAGACCAACATGTTATCGTTGCATGTTGAAAGGGCATTTCGCCTAGGACTGCCCAAGAAGAGCGAACCGATTAATGCTAAGGCAAGCGGTGCAACGCCCGGTCAAAACCGAAACAAGTCATGACAATCAATCTAATCAAGTGCTTGGTCCACTACAGCCCTATCAACAAAAACACACAGAGAGGATCATCATAAATGGAGACTATATGGTCGAAGGAACAGACACGGGGTCATGGAATTCCGTTTGGTATGTAAGCACTATGATTTCTAAGCACATGTCCCCTACCAAGGAGATATTCGACAGTTTCAGAAGGTGCTTCTTCATCAATGATGAAGAACGTCACCTTGACCCGATACATGTACATGGCTTCGGTGAAATCAGTTTAGAAACAAACTGTAACACCCCACAAACACCACATTTGCATATAATACATATTTCATTATATGGAAATATAGTTTACATCACAAGGTCCCACTAGTACAAGGATTCTTATATGTACAAAATCTACATATAAAAATTTCCAAAACAAATCATGTACTAACACATGTAATACAACATGTATCTTCAAAACAAGTCATCAAAAGCAGATCTTCAAAAACAGATAATAGGTTAGGAAAATAATTACATTTTCTCTTTCCCCTTATTATCTCTGGACCCCGCCATTCCTGCATTTTATATTTTTAAAACAGAAAACGAGGGTTAGACCAGAAGGGTCTAGTGAGTAAATCCCTTCTTTGCAAACGCGGGGTGATGAACACCAAAATGTAATAAAACAACTTTGCTTAGAAATATTTGCACTACAAACAAATAATGTAGCTCCCAATGACATGTAAAATATGATATATCCAAGAATCTCAATTTTATAAATAAAATACATCTGCTTAAAGATCCAACGTTCCTAATATGAAACAAATATTGTAACCAAAGTTTCTTTAATCACCAAACCACTCCTTTATAAATATTAATGGAAAGATTTAAGGCAATACTTGCCCTTTATGACAAACCATTTTCTCCTTCTCAATAACATCTAAATTAATATTTCTAATAAGAATAATATCTCTAATTCATCAAATCACAAAGAAATGATGATTCAAAGTTATTAATTCCAATTAGTAATAATAATAAGAGTTGTAATAATATCCACATATGACAATGTCTCCCTTATTCCAGGTACACCTCTTCTTGATATGCCACATTTTATTTTTATATCAAAATAGGGCTACTTATCAAAACAGACAAAAGTCACCACGTCTGAAAGTACCTATTCCGAGTTCCAAGCCAGAACAGAAAAAAGTCACCACGTCTGGGGGAACTACCACTTAAAACAAGTTTCATACCAAAACAGACTTACGTCACCACGCTTGGTAGAAACAGTTTACAAAATCCAATTCCATACCAAAACAGACTTACGTCATCACACTTGGTAGAAACATATAAAATACCCTTTTTTTATAAATCCATAATCAAACCCAATAATAGATTTTTTAAACTAAATAAATTTCTAAAATATTTAACACCTGAAAATTATCAAATAAAAGTTATCCGGATATACAATCCGAACAACACTTATCCCTTTTTGTCCGATTTACTAATCCAGACAACCGTTAGTCGATTTAGACTAAATCACATGACTTATGTTCGGTTTAAGGAAATCCGGACAAGATACTTATCCGACTTATAATTAGTCCGCATAACCCTTGAGTGATTTATGACTAAACCGCTCAATACGTGATCGGTTTAAAACTAATCCGCACGACCATTAGGCGATTTTAAGGCTAAACCGCACAATGTCTGGTCGTATTCATATTTCTCCGTTCAAAACCTTAATCCGATTTACATAAATCAAGTTCTCACTAACACCCTAAATCACACAACACTTAAGCGATTTTATAGTTAACTCGGACAACTTCTACCCGGTTTAAGAGTAATCCGGACAAACTTTGTCCGGTTTATACCTAGTCCGATCAACCTTTGTCCGAATAAACCCAAGTCGCACAAAACCAGTTTTTAAAATAATATCCAGTTCTTATAGTAAAAATCAAAGCTTTTAAAATAGTATTTTTAGAAATCACTCACCTTAAAGATTGAACTCAGATTTTGAAGAAGATAAGAAATGCAAAGACCAACTTGATTCAACACTTGAATCTCCGGACAACCTTTCTCTCTAAATCTCCCAAAAACCTTCCAAATGAGGCAAGAAAACTTGCCTCATAACCCAACCCTTATATTTATACTTTCCTTACATGGAAAGTCCGCTACCCGCTCACCCCACATGCATGCACAATTTTTACCCATGCATACATAAATTCATGCACACACATGAACATACCTATTATATATATATATATATATATATATATATATAGGGGTCTATTCAAGGGAGAACTGAGTTGTTTGTGGTAACTGTGAGAACCAATCTCAACCAATC